CTCAGAAAACTGAGCCTGCACTTTTGATAAGTGGAGAGAAATCAGCCTCTCAAATGTCAGAAAACAGCTGATGTTGCTTCTTACTTGGAGGCGTCTTGACTTCCCTTCTCACATGTCTTATTGAGGAGAGGCAGTAAGAGGGCGAGCTGCAGGCTCCTCAGGGAGCAGCTGTTGGGATGCTTGACTGAGGCACTGAGACATCCAGAGGACAATTGAGTATTGAATATGGATTGCTTTGAACAGCTTTTATTACCATGTCGTGAGTAAGAACAACTCCATCTCAGCTTGCTCGTACTGTCCTCTGACACATAACTTAGATGTTTCCTGAATGGCAGGACTTGGAAGATGCGCATTAGCTCTGCTGTGCTTGTGAAGTCTGTTCTGTGACATGCATGTTCCTCAGCTGTCTGAACCCCTGAGAAAACCTCAGCTGTTGGGGTGACCCTAATGGAGCTGTTCAGTGCAGAGTCTCTGTTTCAGTCTGACATAAGTCTACATCCTTGGTCATTAACTACTCTTGGAAAGTTAAATGCCTATGCAGCTTTTACAAACCTAGGTCTCTGGGGTTTTAGAGAGTAAAACAAAAACTATTTCGATGATAAATAATTTGTAGCTGTAATTCTTTATGAGTTATACACAGTGTGCAATGTGTTGGGTCAGGAATGATCATCTTTGCATTAGCAATTCTAAATAGAATGGTGCCACGATGAACACAGCAAGTTCTCAGTGAGTAGACTGGCCTGGGATGGAGAGAAGAAACAGTTAAGTGGAATTGGTATTCCTAGGTCTGTACCAAGTTCTTCGGGTTAATTCTCCCACAAAAATAAGACCTGGCTCATGGGTACTAATGGAATTCCACAGTATGCAGGATAGTGATTGGGCAATGAGCCTAAGGTAATTCTCTGCCTGCTTTGGATCTGGTTTCTGTGGGAAGCAGGACTCTGTTGCTGGGGCACCAGATGCTGGGTTCATTTGTACATTTGCACAGAGAGCAGTAAATGGGCGTGGGGTGGCCTAGGTGTAGGAGGGACAGGAATGGAGTAGGGGGCAGGTTGATGCAGCCTCGGTGCAGGTAGACTCTGCTGGCCTGTGTTGGCTGGTTCCCCAATTATATTTTAAGAAAATGTGTTTATTACTGTCAGATTGCTTGATTTTGCTAAGAAACATAGTGAATACCTTATATAAAAAGAGAACTGAAAAACTTAATGTCTTAAAAAAAGGCTTTATTCCATATGGACTTCTGAACATGGTCATTATATTCCAGTTCTGTGGGAGAAGAATGAACTCTGGAGGCTAGCCCACTTATCACATTTTCCTTTCTTTTCAGAAGTAGCTTAGGAGCAATGTTACTTGGGGTCCAAGTGTGAATTTTTATTTTTGAGAATTTATCCATGTGTTCATTATCTAAGCCTGTTTTCTAGCCCATCATATCCAAGTATTATATACCCCAATAATATTCCTAACTATTCTAACAGAAAATCTGGTATGTCCTGAGAAAAACCACTGCCATGACTTATTAATGAATTAACTGGGCATAATTTTCATAGGGTTCATTCACCCAAACTTACCATAGAATATAATGTAAGAAAAAAATAGAGTAATTGAATTAAAGTTCTTTTTTGGAATAATATTAGCATTCAAGGATCCCCATCCCCCATGGATACTGCAGTTACTAATGTGTCAGACTTCCCCTTCAAGATATCAGCTGCATATCCCTTCTTCATTATGTGGGCTGGCTCTCTTCTATTTGCCCCTCAGACCTCTCCTACCTCTTCCCTGCCCTGTGTAGACCATATCAATGGGCTCCTCATCCTCTGGCTTTCAGTGGGTTCAGGTAATGTGGGGTGGAGAGTGAGATCAGGGTATTTTAATCCCTGGCTCCCTCCCTGAGGGCCACTACAGCTGGCCATGTCCCTCAGCCTGTCTGGCAGCCCCCTCCACACAGCCTTCTCCTTTCCCATTCTCCCTCAGGCAATTACCATCCCAGGGACACTGTTCCACCCGTCTGTTTCCCTACATGCTGCCAACACCTATGTAAGTATTCTATTTATTAAACTCTTAAAATATCCCGATTGGAATGTGCCATCTGCTTCATGCTGGGACCATAACTGATACAAATAAGCATTTGATCCACAGAGAGAAGAGGACTGCTGACCTCTTGGTGGTTACCAAAGATAGAAAGGGGCCTAATTAGCCCAGTTGAAGCATTAGCATCTAAAATCCCAGCCCAAACCTTTCTTCAGGAAGCCTGCCCTTTCTGCCTCTGTGGATGTGGTCCCCTCTCAGGTTGGTTTTATGTTTTCAAAGCTATGTGTCTGCGCATGTCAGGCTGGTAGCATCCTGTTTGTTTTGGTGTGTGTTTCAAAGAGTAACAGACTTAGATCCAGCAGTGCAGGGGAGATCTCCTGAAAGTCACAGGACATGGAATGTGAAACGTTGATCTTTCCAGTATCTCTAACATGGCCCTATTATATCACTTGACTTGCAGCTGGCACATGTATTTTAGAAAAATGGAAGGATTGATGTTGTTGTGTTATGTTTCAGCCCCTACCAAAATTCATATGTTGAAGCTTAATCCTCCAATGTGATGGTATTTGGAGATAGGCCTTTGGGAGATAATTAGGCTAGATAGGGTCCTGATGGTGGGGCCCTCAGAAGGGGATTAGTGCCCTTATAAGAAGAGACACCAGAAAGCTTGCTGCTCCCCCACTCTCTGTGCATGCATGCTCGTGCACACACATACACACACAAAGAGGTCATATGACCACACAGCAAGATGGTAGATGCCTACAAACCAAGAGAAGAGCTCTCAGAGAGAAACCCTGATCCGCCAGCATCTTGATCTTGGACTTTCCAGCCCTCAGAACTGTGAGAAATAGATTTGTTGTTTAAGCCACACAGTCTGATATTTCGTTTAGCAGCCCAACCTGACACAAAAGTGTAGATGTTTTTCCAAACAAGCTATTTGTATTGTCCCAGACAAATGATCTATTTGGGTGGTCCTTGCTCTTTTAGAAATTTGTTTGGGAATTTCTCCTTGTAGCCTACTGTAATATTTAAAGACATTGGAAATTTTTTGGCTGAAACTTAAGCTTTAATAAAAGGCCCATGTATCTTTCTCAGACTGGTTGAACTTAGAAATGAGTAAATTTTCTCAATTTGCCAATTAAAAAAGCCTTTTAGCTATAGATGTTGAGGAGGCTGGGCCTTTGGTTTTTTCCTAAATGGAAGTTGGAAGGTGCTCACAGAATGATGCCAAGCACCGGTGGCTGTACAATTTCCATTTTATTTTGTGTGCTTTTTTTAATAGGATATAAATAATGACAAAAATTACAAAATTTATAACTGGAAGCCCAAGCATATTTACACATATGTTTCTGTTTCAGCAAAGCTACTATTTACTTTGCTCCTATACAATTACCTTTTGGTACCATATTTCAGTGTTTGTTATTTTTACTCTCCATTTACTACATACATATCAACAGTGAATAGGCAAAATATATACAAGGAACTGTTCAGGTCAAGTAATTTAATATTGTATTAAAATTCTTCAACACTGAACTAAATCCATATACATTTGTCAGTTTGAAATAAAATTTATCTTTCTTTAAAACTCACCAACTGATGAATAACTAATAATCCTCAGGTTTGAAATAATATTGGTTAATAAAAAAACATTAAGACAATCCCACAATTTATCAGTATCGCTATAATGAACTTCAAAATGATTCACAATATGATCAGTTAGAACAATATATGTTAAAATGTTATTTTTTCTATAATGATATTGGTACTGTTTATATAATTTGATTCTACATAAATATACATTATGGAATCATACAAATACTCCACAGAGACATTAAAAAAATTAAAATACCTTAAAGAAATGTAAGTAAATTTTATTTAATCAAATAGTAAGCAAACATTTATTTGTTTCAAGAAAAGAGTTTTATTACTTTGGAATCTCTCTTTTTTTTTTTTTTTTGTATTTTTTTCTAGAAAAAAATTTTTGCAATAGAATTTTACTAACACCTTTCTCAAACAAGGTTTCCATGACAGAAATCTTGACAGCAGGAGCCCTAGTTTTTTTTTTTTTTAACGTTTTCTTTAAAACACTGTGAAAGTTAAAAAAAAAAAACAATCTTTGCAGCTTATGGCTGCGTCAGCACTTTCGGTTGGATGCCAGTCTGCTTGCCCTAATCTCCTGCTCTGGGGAGTGTCATCAGCACTTTGCCACACCCAAGCCAGTCCTCTTGGTGGTAGCAGTAAAAATTTAGTTACTTGAAATGAAACCAGAAACATCCCTCACAACTAACCTAGTTTTCTTATCAGTGCATTAATGAAACATTCTTTTAATAAAAATATTTAATACAAGACACATTTTTCTGTGCATAATAAATTCCTCTGTTTTGAATTATTCTTAAATTTTTAATCAATCCATAGATGTAAATGTTTTCTTTATCTGACATGGTTGATTACATATAAAATCCACAAATATAGAAATTGGGAAACAAGATTTCCTGGCAATTATAGGGGTGGTTTTTGTCCTTATGCATGAAATGATGCTCAGTGATACAATTTTACAGATGTTTTATGGGGGTAGTTCTGTTCTGATTCTACCTTTAAAACTGCTGACTGTGAAAAATCCAAGATTTTTTATACTGTTAGGCAGTATTAGAGATCCCCTGTACCTTTTGTTTTTTTTAAAGGTATTATCCCCAAATTCAGCAAAGCAGTGTTGGGGGCAGAGTCATTAGAAATACCTTGGGTGGTGGCAGGGAGGGGAGTCGGGAGAGTCAGCGAAAAATCTCAACTCATGCCTCTCAGGGGTTACAGCTGGAAAGTCTTGGTTGCATACTGGTGCAGAAAGAACGTCCCCAGGAATGGCCAGCGGCCTTTCGCCTGTGACAAGGCCACACAAACAGAGCAGTCTTCCTCCTGGGCTGGGTGGAAACTGAGGCGCGAAGGGAAGCCTGCTCCGGGACTGCTCAGCGTGCAAGGCACCGCGAGGACAGGAGGATGGTGAGTATCAGAAAATTGTGGTTTCATACTTGGTATTAATTCCTCTCTTGGCTTCTTGTCCCGGCTCCACAATCCACGGCAGATTGGCCAGAGTCTTTTGCTCAGATGGGTCGATCTGCTTTAAAACAGAAAGGCTGATGCCTGTTATAGGATACCTGTACCGGGGTGTAAACATGCTTCCTAACACTTCTTGGAAACCAACACTAGGCCTTTACAGGACTGCAGTCCTGTCACAGACCAACAGGTATGTGAGAATTGTGTGTTTGTCCTTCTCATACATGTTTATTGCATAAGGACTGTATGCAAGGCATTCAAAGGGTGGGTGGTGAATGAGTCCTGGCCCTTGCTCTTGAAGGCACACAGATGGGGAGCAAACACAGAAGCACTTTGATACTGAGAAGGGGGATGGATGGAGGGAGGCTGCTCTGCGGTTAGGGAGCCAGGGGACTTCCTAGAAGAGGTGAACCAGGTTATGTCACTCTCCAGCTCTCAAGCCTACAGTAGTTTCTGTTACAGAATAAACCTGAATTCCTCAAGGTGAAGTCTAGCCACACTGACTTTGCTTCTACCTGCATGCCAAGACCACACCCTTTGCTCTGCGGGAATGCCTTTCCCCAGACACCTGCATGCCTACATCATCTCCTCACCTATTCACCCAATACAAAATAGCATCCTAACTTTTCTGCTCTCCTCTTCAGCTCTAGTCTTTATAATCCTATGCCACATACATCATATTTATTCCTTCATCCTCCACTGCAGTGTACGGTTTTGTTCTCTTCACTGTTTCCCCCAAACTTAGAAAACCTCCTGGCAACCCAGTAAATAATAGTAGGTACACAATAAATACTTACTGAATAGATATTATAAGAGAATGAGGTAATGTCTAAACAGCTGGAGGACGAGCTAGAGTTTGCCTGGTGAGGGGGCAAGGAGAGAGGGAACAGCATGTGCAAAGCTCCTGTGGTAAAGAGAAGTGGCAGGTTGAGAACTTGCAGTTAGTTAGTTCACAGAGTGGAGATGGGAGGGTGAAAAGGTGAGCAGGGCCAGGTCAAGCTGAGCCTTGAACCAGACTGAGCTGAGCTATAAAATGGTTAAAACCACATTTTAGCCCCTGTGCACACAAAGTCAAACAGGCCATTCCTGGGTAATGCTTGAGCTGTGAGCTCTCAGGAGGGGCCTTGGAGGGAGTTTTTCACCACACTGCTGCCTCATCTTTTAGTGTTTCCACATCTGCCCTGGCCCTGGCCACCTGCTCTGCTCAGGAATGCTGGGGCAAGGAAGCCTGGGAAGGTCTCTCTTATTTCTCTTGTGCTGTGAGCTTTGGAGCCTGATGAAAGGCTATGGGATCCATGCCCTATGGCTACCTTCCAACATGAACTGATTGTATCTCCACAAAGCTGTGGGAAGGACTTCACATATTCTTAGGATCATGGAATATTTCTCAACAATAAACAACTGGACCTGAGGGAAATGGAACATGGACACCAGTTGAGAGGGATGGGATGTTGAGGCAGTTAAAGGACATCAATATTATTCACTATATATTTTCATATTTCTCAGTGAAGGCTTTTCAATGAATATTTAACAAGCCCTCATGGCACCCAACCTAGTTGTGCTCTTCTGGAAGTTTATGGAGACCAGAGTAAAGTCAGATGGAGGCACCTGCCATGAACAGATTTATCCAGGCCATATGAGAAAGAATATAATAGTCTAAGAGGTAATCCAAAAATATTCTGAAAATTCCTATACATTTAACTTACAGGTTTTTTTTGGGGGGGGGAACGAGATAAATAATGAACAACTCTCCATCAATAAATGCTATACAGAATTAAAACTGGGTATACACTTGAGTGTGACTAGGTATCTATCTCAGAATGGATGGCCCAGGAAAAGCCTCTTCATGTAGCTGAGACTTGAATGACAAGTGGAAGTCAGCTGTGCAGAAATATGGGGGATACCATGATAGGTGGAAGGAGCAGGTGACACAAAGGCCTCAGGTAGGAGTGAGTTTGGTCTGTTCCAGGAATAGGAAGGCCTGAGCATCAGAGAGAAGCATTGTGGGAAATTAGGTTTAGGTACTTGGGGCAGTGGTGCCATGAACTGGTTTGTGTTTTAGGATCACTTTGGTTGCATAAGGAAGAAGGAAGACTATTAGGACATGTACTGCAATAGTTCTGGAGTAGTGGTGGTAGCCTGGACGAGAAGAGTGAGGAAATAGAGAGGAATGGGTGGATCTGAGACATGTTTTAGGGGTTGAGTAGATGGAATCCGCTCATGTGTTGTACACAGTGGTTAGAGGAAGACAGGAAGTAAGGACGACCTCTGGATTTGTGCCTTGAGCAACATGGTGAATGGTTATGCCATTTACTGAGCTCAGAAAGACAGAATATAAATAGTTTTGAGGGAAAAATCAAGAATTCTGTTCTGGGAACTTCCAGGGAAGATGGCAGAGGAAGAGAATCCTAGGCTCACCTCATCCCATGGATACACCTAGATAACACCCACATCAGTGAAAATAACCCAGAAAAATGACCTATAGATTGGCAGAAAAGACCTTTCACAGCTAAATGTAGAAAAGAGGCCACATTGAAGAGGGTAGAAACAGCAGAGATGTAGTTGGGAGCCAAACACCTGCAGGACCTAAGGGAGGACTGCTGTGGGTGCAGAGGGGAGAGGAGCAGACCCTACACCAGGCACCTCAGGCACAGAGGACCTGCACTGGGAAGATGAATTCCCTTATCATTTGGCTTTGAAAACCACTGGGAAGATGAATTCCCTTATCATTTGGCTTTGAAAACCAAAGAGTTAACATCGTGAGTTCTTACAATCAGTGGGGCTTAACACCTGGAACTTTGAAAAATCAGTGAGCCAGAGAGTGATAGGAAACTGAGTCCCTGCCCTTAAAGAGATAGCATAACAAACAGCCCCACCAAGATACAGCAGAGAAGCAGCAGTTTGAAAAACACCTGGGGTATACAGGAGGGAGGGAGATTTGTTTACTAATCTGAGAGCATGTGCTGGAGGGGCAGAGATCTTTGGGAGACTTCTTCAAGAACAAGAGAACTGGCAGGCACCATTTCCCTCTCCCACTCCCCAGCCTAGATACAGGTACACCTGTGTGAACCACTGCAGCAAGAACACTCTCCACCTACCTTGCTAGCAGCATGCCCTGCCCTCACACTCTCCTGTGGTCCCCACCCCCCAACCTGGCCTTGGCGATTCCATCCAAAGCAACGCCACAAGCATAGCAGTATACAAGCAGCCCTGACGGGTCAGCACCACCTCAGAGGGACTCCTGCCCTGGGGAAAGGAGAATAAAACCACACAAGCAATCTTATGGCCCGAGGAGTGGACTGGGGGCAGATATCTGGTCTGACTACAGGCCCCACTCACCAACAAAAACTTCTCATGGGACAACACAGGGAGAGTGCCCTGCAGTGCTGTGCTTCTGCAGTTCTGGAAAATACCTGGCCTAACCCAACTCAAGCCCAAGGCTGCCCCAGACTGGCTCACTAACAACACAGGGAACCAAACCCTGCCTGCAACAGGTAAAGAGAGCCATAGAAGACAACTGGACTGAAGGCAAAAGCAGCTCAGCCACAACAGTAAGGTGCACACAATGCCCATAGGTGATACCCAGTAAGTGCCAGGTTCTGATAGAGGGACATTGCACTGCAGGGCACTATAGGACCTCTTCTTTATAAGGCCTCTAGTTTCAAGAGCAAGAGACATAGCTAACTTTCCTAACACATAGAAACAGACACAGGGGGTTAGACAAAATGAGGAAACAGAGGGATATGTCCCAAATGAAAGAACAGGACAAAATCACAGCAAGACAGCTAAACTCTTGGAGATAAGTAACGGAGATAATATGCCTGATACATAATTTAAAGTAAAGGTCATAAAGGTACTTACTGGACTTGAGAAAAGAGAACAGGACCTCAGTGAGACCCTCAACAAAGAGATAGAAAACATAAAAAAGAACCAATCAGAGATGAAGAACCCAATAACAAATTAAAAATATACTAGAGGGAATAAACAGACTAAAGGAAGTAGAAGAATGGATCAGTGATGTGGGGGACAGAGTAATGGAAAGAAATCAAGCTGAAAAGGAGAAAGAAAAAAGATTAACAAAAAATGAGACTAGATTAAGGGAACTGAGTGACACCATTCAGTATAATAACACTGCATTACAGGGATCCTAGAAGGAGAAGAGAGAGAAAAGGGGGCAGAAAATTTATTTGAAGAAATAATAGCTTAAAACTTACCTAATTTTGGGAAGGAAATGGAAGTCCAGATCCAGGAGGCATAGAGAGCCCCCAACAAAATCAACCCAAAGAGGTCCACACCAAAACACATTGTAATTAAAATGGCAAAAAGTAGTGAGAGAGAATTTTTAAAGCAGCAAGAAAAAAGAAAACAGTTACATCCAAAGGCAGCCCCATAAGGCTATCAGCTGATTTTTCAGCAGAAATTTTGCAGACCAGAAGAAAGCGGCATGATATATTCAAAGTGCCATAAGAAAAAACTTCTAACCAGCAAGGCTATCATTCAGAATAGGAGAGAGAAAGAGTTTCCCAGACAAAAGTTAAAGGAATTCATGACCACTAAACCTGCTCTACAAGAAATGCTGAAGGGGACTCTTTGAGTGGAAAGGAAAGACCATAAGCAAGGAGTAAGAAAAGTAGGAAGCACAAAAGCAGTAAAATTAAGTATATCTATAAAAATCAGTTAAGGGATTCACAAAATAAAAGGATGTAAATATGGACACCTAAAATGTGGGGGAGGGCGCTGGGTGGCTCAGTTGGTTAAACGTCTGCCTTTGCCTCAGGTCATGATCCTGGAGTCCCAGGATCGAGTCCCGCATTGGGCTCCCTGCTTAGCAGGGAGTCTGCTTCTCCCTCTGGCCCTCCCCCTCTCATGCTCTCTCTCTCAAATAAATAAATAAAATCTTAAAAATGTGGGGGAGAGAGGAGTAAAAATTTAGTGCTTTTAGAATGGGTTCAAACTTAAGTGACCATCAACTTAATACTCACTGCCATATGCATAAGATGTCATATACAAAACTTATGGTAACCACACAACAAAAACAGTAATAGATACACAAAATAAAGAGAA